ATAGATAGATAGATTAATAGATAGATAGATATAGATATAGATATAGATATAGATATAGATATAGATATAGATATAGATGATATAGATATAGATAGAGATAGATATAGATATAGAAATAGATATATAGATATAGATATATAGTAAAGCTGTTTTATATTATTCTTCCCTTCTTTTGACTGTAACTTTGTGGCTTGGATCTTATGATCTTATGATCTATATCGATTGTTTTTATTTATTATCTTATTATGATTAATGTTGATTGCTTATTGAGTGCCGTATGTTTGTCACTGGATGTTCTATCTTGTGATTTATGAGGATTATATTTTATGATTATGATCATGGTCTACCACTTGTTGCTGGTATGTACCCTGAGAGCTTCAGTCCACATTGCTTCAGCCCGGTCTACCCAGTACGAAGAGGAAACATGCCAGCAGTTGGGGGAGTGGTATCAAGCTGGCCACACCCACCCAGTCAGCCAGGCCCAGTGAGTGGCATCAAGCTGGCCATACCCACTAAGTCAGTCACATCAGAGGTGGTATTCAACTAGTTCGGACTGGTTCTGGAGAACTGGTAGCAGAAATTTTGAGTAGTTCAGAGAATCGGCAAATTGGCTGGCCCTGTCCTCCTAATCTTCTTTTGTTGCCCTGCACCGGAGAACAGAGCTAGACAGCAGGTTAGAGGGGAGGGAATGCGGATTTTGCAGTATCGTTGGCCTGCCATGCCCGTAAAGCCATGCCATGACCACAGAAACAGTAGTGAAAAAATTTGAATCCCACCACTGAGCCACACCCACTCAGTCGGCCAACCACAGACCTGTTACGGCCCTCAATGAAATTGAGTTTGACACCCCTACTCTAAGCTCTTTAAGTTTCCAATTCCTGGTCTCTCTTGTTCTCCTTTTTTAAACTGGTTCCAATTTATATAAATTCTTCTTCAAGAGGGATACCCAGAACTTGGAAATTCCCCACCCCCCGCCCCCCATCTTACCTGCTTTAAAGATCCACTCCAGGTAGCCGTTCAGTTCTCTCTCAATCTGTTGCTGTCTCCGGAGTTTCAAAAAAGCTCGGCGGTTTTCAACTCTCTCTCGTTCTTTGGCAAACTCCCTGCAGAGAAGAAACCAGATAAACGAGTGCAACCTTCATAACCAGCCATTCACTTAACAACCGTGACAAGGAAGGTCGTAACCGTGAGGCAGAACTCACTTGTCAAATGTCTCGCTTAGCACCACGAATTTGGTTGCAAGTTGAGCACTACCTAGACAGGACTTTTTTCTCAGTCCATGCTCTGGTGCTGAATGGTGCAGCCATCAAGTGATGATGTTCTGACCTAGGCTTCCCAAAATCCCGAAGCAAACTCCTTGTCCCAACAAAACTCCTTTTTTTTATTACGCTAATGTGAATTCCTCTCATCACATCCAGCAAAGTCTCGGCAAACAGTCTTTTCAAGGGTGAATTTACAACCACAGACCTTATCAGGCTTGGAGAGCTGCCAGGCCGATATCTAATGGCTGTACAAGAAAATACTTGGCAAGGAGTCTCTGAGTGTCATGAACAACTCTTCACACTTACTAAGTGAACTAATGGTCTCCTGCAAACTCCACTCCCTTTTTGCTCCTCTTTATTCCCTATGGGAGGGGCCATTCACCATTCACCTGTGCCTTTACTCCTGAGTTGGCCCTTGTACCTTAAATGTTCCCTTCTCCTGGCAGTTCTGCGCATGTGCACATCTGGAAAAGTCTCCAGCTCTTCTTCTGCCCCACTTATCTCTGACTCCGAAGGCAGTTGATAACTGTTGGATGGCTCTTGCCCCCTCTCTGCCTCCGACACAGAGCCCTCATCAGAGCCTTCCCCAGAGTCCAGGACTGGCCCATCTTCCTCCCCAGCCTCCTTGCTGTCCAAATCTGCTGCCAGCTCCGCTGTCTGCCAGTGGGCCACTCTCCTCCCGAGTTGCTGGGTCAGCCTGCGCTGTTCTCGCCTTCTCTCCACTCTCCATGCTCTTGGATCAGGAGGGGGTGGTCCTTGCTCATCGCCT